AAACCTAGAAACATAATCGGGGCGAACCGGGATCCGAACCCACAATCATAGGTTTCTGGCGTGGCCAAGGGACGCAACTCTGCAAAGCGAACCGCGGCGCCGTAGACGACAGGGCCACCCGTGCCCCCTGACATTTGGATCAATCATCTGGTGCCTTGAATGCTGCCTTGCCAGTATACTGACTTTGTTAATTGAGTTGTTACACCACGTGTTGCTCTGTCTCCTGTTCCGAGGTATGGGTGTTGTCAATGAATTTCTTATGATAAAACATTGATCAGACGAATGACCAAATTATTATGTTATTAACTTCAATAACATTTACACCACTTTATATGAAGCACAGTTACTTTTTTCCACTAGTTAATAGTAGATGTAGTTGCAAAACCGTATAAACGTCAGTCATGTAAGCAGCATCACTATTACGAGTGCATAATAACAACAAATACGATGGCGTCACATCAACAAACCCATTACAGATACTTGTCTGACAATGCAGCTGATATCACAGTCCAGCCTACACACACAGCCAGAACGTTCATGTTGACGTGGAACTATTAACACAAAGAAAATGCTAGTATATATAAAATAAATATAAAATGTTGAGATCAGTTAGCTCTTTGTTTACTAGAAAGTGGCACCAAAATACAATAAAAACATGGTTTCTCTTTTGAAACCACATGTCGAATACATATAATATTAAATACAAAACATAGCATTATTCATTTGTGTGGCTGCTATGGAAACAACGATATCTTTACACCAAGGATTTGAACTTGAATAACACCATTTAACAATGCAAAGTCTTTAAAGTGGAAACAAAACGTGGCAATCCTCTGACGTTGGCTGGAAAGTCTTATCTGAAGTAGATAAAGATATCGGGTCACCATTTTGCAAGTTGATTGTTTTTTACAAATCCGTCTCGCCTGATAATAAATGTACATGGACGCAAATGTGTGAATTGTTACCTTTAGTTTGGTTGCTTTGTTTAACACCGCGATATTTCATGATCAGATATATGACGGCAGTCACTAAACAAGAGTCATCAGAAGATGACAAAAGTACCTGTCCCCACAAATTCGAAAGAACAAATTATCTTACTGTTACTTTAAGTCCAACTTTATGAGAAAATGCGAAAATACAAGAGTAGTTATTGAGGTGTCAAAACAATGACATGGAAGTAAGATTCAGAACTTTGTTTTTCTATGTCAGATACATAGCAATATGAACAGAGTCAAACTGTTCATGGACAATGGACAAAAAAAATAATGGTTAAAATCACTTAATAACAAATGGCACCATGTGTGCGCACAGTTTCATGAAAGAATACCAATTAGTTTTAGAATCATGGTCCGGACAAACACACCATTATGAATAGAGTCAAAGTCAAACTTAAATCCCTTAATAGCAAAATGTCAACACTTCAACCACTGATTAATACATGTACCAAGTTTGGATGACAAATGTTGAACAGATCGTTAGTTCAGCTTCGGAAATGACACCTACCTACCTAAGTCCAACTTGTTTCCATGTAAACAGGTAAAAAAATCCTAAATAGTACAAGGCACCACTTCAGCCTTTGGTTAATACATGTATCAAGTTTAGATGAAAATTCTTTCACGGTTTTCAAGTTGCGTTCCGGAAACGAAATCTACCACCCCAGTTTGAGACTAAGTCCAAATTGTTTCCATGGAAATCTGGAAAAATAAACATGCCCAAAATAAATAGCAAAAAGCAGCACATCAGGATCTGTTTCATATATCTGCCAATCTGTGTTGAAAACTATTGAACGGTTTTCGAGTTGTGCTACGGTAACGAAATTATAACGTACGGATAGTCAGACAGGCAGACAGGTTGGTTGGTTTGTTGTTTAACGCCGCGCTCAGCAATATTCCAGCTGTATGATGGCGGTCTGTAAATAATCGAGTCTGGACAAGACAATCCAGTGATTAATATCATGAGCGTCGATCCACACAATTGGTATACGATGACATGCATCAACCGAGTCAGCTGACAAGTTCATAGAAGCAACAAAACCCATCCCATATTCCTAAGAAATCTCGATTGTACGATTCCGATTTGACGTCACTGATGCGTCAAATTTGGAAATGCCATTCACATGTTTACCTTAAAACCTTTTAAAAGCTGTACTGGGGCTTTGAATGTTGTAACCTAGATGACGAATGAGCAGGCTCGATAGTTCCTCAAAAGTTGTGAAATTTAAATATCAAAGGCTGGAGCTGCTGGAATTTTGCTCGAAATATGGGGAAAATTGACCAGTGGAAAGTTGAAGTTCTCCCTTGTCATTCAGTCTTGTAAAGAGTTTTATTTTTTATTTTTTTGTCATTCTGATTTTTTATGATCTAAATTTAAATATCACGATCTATATATGAAACAGACGAGGCGGTCTGACTAGTTTCCTTTATTTCTAGTTCAGGTGGGTAAACAGAGGAAGGGAATTGGCTATTTTGATGGTTATTGAAGGAGATGAGATCATTGATAGAGCTGAAGTTTCAGTTCAGTTTCATGGCCAAAGTACCTGTTCTTTTACTTTGGCAATCAGAGCAGAAATTATGGATCTAGAAACAGATCAGCTTGACGAGAGGCACACATGGTGTCCATGAGGTTGTCATAGACGAAATATCATAGAAAGGTTTCTTCACACCGATGCTATGTACAGTAGACATCAATACACTGTTGATGGGAGCTCCGAGTTCCCAAGGGTTCATTGTGTATGAAACCAATACAGATTACCCTATTGCCAATTCCTTTCAAGATTATGCCATAAGAATGTGTCATGCCTGACACTTACTTCAATTACACTGTAGCTCTATTTTACACTATATATTCCACCTCTCCATGGTTCGTTTTCATTATAATTAGTAATATTGTAAACCATACATATATAGACCTATGAAGAAACCAAGTGTTATGTTTTATTTTAAAATGATATTAAAACATGACTGATCTACCAACCTGTTCATGCAGCGATTAAAATAGATATTATCTACTGCTACTAGGTCAAAGTGCTGACCTGTCATAATATTAGTCTTGCGTAGGTGCACCGATTGCATGAAATGCTGATAAGATGTATCATTGCGGTAATATTGACTGGGACATATCTATTAGTCGTGTGTACCAAGTCGAGGCAATGGGCAGTCTGGAGTTCCGACCCGTAGCTATGGATTTAACTCGGTTTCGAATATGGTCGAGTGTGGACCATTATATAGTTATATGATGGTTGCCTGTAAATACTAAAAAATAAGAGAATCTATCTTCTGTATACAAAGTAAATATGGGTGTCACTGAATAATATTCTAATTTGAATTTCTGATTAAAACAATGAAATTGTATGCCTGTCTAACTATCTGGGAACCCTCTATTAAAATAAATACCAGTTGCGAAATGTCATCTCTCATTTCGCTTCGGACACCAAACTAAATGGTGTAGTATTTAATATTTCTTATTAAAATGCATTCGCCAATTGTACGGTCATGCTGTAATAGTATGAAACAACAACAAAACAACCACTACTTTCTACATGTCTACATTGCATGAGGTTTTGCGTGATACTCGGACATTTCCCTTTTTGTCCACGAGTCCGTGACGTGATGACGTCACATCCTATTGGCACAAATTCATATTGAAACCCATTTGACCGGATTATTGCCGATTTCATTGATCTCTTCTTTATTATCTCCATAACACACAGCTGTGTCAATGCGTACATGTTCCTGTGCCCTAATCCAAGGCGGGGCCATGAGTGTGTCATTCGTCTCAGGCCCCACAATTCGTCTTACAGAGTTGAGTCCAAAAAAAGATCATCACAGGTACGAATCCCAGATTACGATCTTTTGGTTTGTCAGCACCATACTCGTGCTCGTTGGTTTCACCAAAGTTGTAAACGTGAAAGACATGCGTTCCCTCAAAGGGTGGGTTGTTTGTTATTTAACGCCGCACTCAGCAATATTCCAGCTATATGACGGCGGTATGGTTGATGGAGCGTAAATATTTTGTCCTCCTGATGTTGTCTTACATATCCTCACACTAGTATGGTGATCTACCTTCAGTTGCTGGCGATCTATACCCCTTTTTCATTTTGTATTGTTACATATAGTAATATCCTTTTATGGTTGAATACAAGTATTAAATATTAATCTGTGTTACTTTCTGACCATCGAGGACAGGTTTTCATTTAGTCTCTATATATGTATTATTAATCTATAACTTCTCGTCTCTGTATGGCTGAAATATTGCCGATGTGACTTTAAATATCACTTCACTCAATTCGTTGGTTTCACATTAATTATAAGTTCTTTTCCGTACAGATTTCTGACTTAACATATTGTTTCAATTTGGGAATCGACTCGTAACATCACTCAGTCATTAGAAAAAAACGAAATCGGTACGTTAAAGGGGCATATGTGCAAGTCAGTCATCCAAAAACTGGGATCAGCGAGATATATCGCTTTGACGAGATCAAGCAATATCACCTCAAGGTGAACTCCACCACAATGTTTGTTTGTTTGTTTGTGGTTTAACACAGCACTATCTATATGTTGGCGTTCTGAAAACAATCCAGTCTGGACCAGACAGCCCTGTCATCGTGAGCGTGGATCTACCCCATGGGGATTCGATGACATGCATCAACCAAGACTGGTAACACCATGTGACCGCCAGATCCTCATTGGTCGACTCTTATAACATTCAGACCACTGGGAGAAGACTCCGTATCCTGCTCCTGTAACTCGTGGGGATGTTGCAAAATTTGACGTTTTTTAGTCAGTACATTACTACTAATTTGATTAAATCTAGCAGTATTCCCAGACATTGTAAATGAGTCCCACACTTTGGTGTAACCCAAGTGCATGAAATAGAGGTATCTATCAAACCAATCAGGGAATAATAGCTGGACAGTCAATGTTAACGAGTTTTACATGTCAGACACCAAAACATACCGGTCAAATATCCTTTGTTTGTTTCCACATGTATCACTGTAAATATGTAGGAAAATTCCTGTTTTATTGATCAAACACGTTTAGCAGTTATTGCTGCAAGTGGTCACGTGATTCAGTTGTGGTGGCCCAAGTGAAGGCCGTGGCCGTGCAGGTGAGCCGTCTTCGTCAAAATCTGAAGTGTAATAAAAATATGTGATCGATTATATATATTAATACAAAATAATTGCGTGTCTTGTTGTTTCAAGCCGCACTCAACAATACTTCAGCTATATTACGATGGACAGTAAATGATCGATTCTGGGCAAGACAATCTGTGATTGATGTAATGAGCAACAATCCACGCCGTCAGGGTACTTTGCCGCGTCATCAACAATTTCACCTGGCCTTACCAACCGATTCGCTTACTCGCCTCTGACAAAAAAACAAAAAACAAATCAAATCAAATACAGGGGTAGATTATATTGTCGTTCGTCTCACGGTTATTCCATAATAACAACGGGGTAGTGATATTATACTTCATCGCCGAAGTTACGGCATGTTTGTATATTGTTGGTATATTGTTGTTGAAATCAACGCAATGTGACGTCGGCCTGTAAATATTTATTTACTGACCAGACAAACCAGTGATTGATATTTTCATCAACAGGTTTGTTATATTTGTTGTTCAGCAATATTCCGACTGGGTGCGACAACACGCAATGACCCATGTCACCGAGACTGAGCACCCGATCCGTTTTATGCGCCTCCTTCGGTAAGCATAGGTAATTTGGGTCCTCTTCAAGTGGAAACTCCACGGGGGTTTTGGCAAGACGGGGAGATAACCAAACCACCAGATATTTATTTTGGCTGAATATTAGACAAGCAGAGGTTTAAACCTAATCTATCAAGCTTTGTACACTTACGTTCATCCAATAGGCTGTAAACTCATCTTTAGAGACTTCCTTGTTTCCTGAACAAAATAAGCAGATTCTTGAAATGTCATAGCCAGATATTCCAAACAAATGCAGTTACTGTATTTCGTCGCAGTGTTGGAGGGCGAGACAGTTTAGAGCTTTGAACAGTAATTCAGTTTTATAACTGTGCGTGTGAGCTTGAGGTGGGCGATAAAACGGAAGTCATGCGGGTTTCCACTATTGTGAAACCTATGAGCGCCATTTATAGCTCCAACATAATCAGGTCGAACCCGGATTCCAGCATAGGTTTCAAAATCAACTCTTGCAGGGGCCGACCATTGTCCAAGTGTTAGTGATTGTCGTTTGACGCACAACACGCAAGCTCAATCATGATGCCTGGCAAACCTGTGACTGAAAGCACGCGACAAGCATCACGTTCTGTCGGACATGTTTTAATGTTCCAGCTTTTGCTTGCCTTTTAACAAAGTTTGTACGTTTGAACCTTTTTATGGTTCTTTGTTGTTAAACGCCGCACTCCGCAATATTCCAGCAATATGACGGCGGTCTGTTAATAATCGAGTCTGGACCAGGCAATCCAGTGATTGATATCATGAGCATCGAACCAAGACGTCGATTCGGACCACGCGATCGCATTAGTCGCCTCTTGCGACAAGCATACTCGCCTTTTACGGCAAGCATGGGTTGCTGAAGACCTATTCTACTCCGGATCTTCATGGGTCACATCATAAAGGAAGAGCTGGCAACTTGTAATCGTCCAATAACAGATGAGTGAGTGAGTATGTTTTTACGCCGCTTTTAGAAATATATTCCAGCAGTATCACGGCGGGGGACACCAGAAATGGGCTTCACACAATGTACCAATGTCGGGATTCGAACCCGGGTCCTTCGGCGTGACAAGCGAACGCTTTAACCACTAGGCTACCCGACCGCCCCCAATAACAGATGATCCCACCTCACCTGTAGACATACTTCACCACCGGACCTTTATATGTAGAACCGGACAATAAAATAAAACCTTTGAAAATGTGTGTTTTAGCACAAGGACATCGTTTGATCTCACACGAATGATTTCTGCCGTGGGTGCAAGTAGTGGAAAACGATCCCTACTGATCATAGGTACGAGTGTTGTAGGGACTGTAATAATGTATTGTTTACCGTCAAGATCCATTTTGCCATAGACGAGATCGATATCTGGAGTGTCAAGCAGGTCGTCATCATTAGCGTCGAACTCCTTGAAGACCGCATGGCTGTACTCCCTCAGGGTGGAGTGTTGAGGCACGGAGTCCATGTACTCGTGGTGGGTGACAATCTTATCACCTGGTGACAAAGGAAAGGTATAACACTGGGGATCCACCATTTCTTATTCCAACGGGAAGGAGATATATTTTCGATCACTGCTTCAAGACACGATTTTTTTCTTAAGGACCAGTCAAAAATTATATCATGGCAACCTGTAACCGAAGTGTAATTGGGTGGTTTTGACTCGCTGACTTTGTTGATCCATGTCATCGTACTCCGATGCTCATAATGTCAATCAATGGATTGTCTGGTCCATTATTTACATACCGCCGTCATATAGCTGGAATATTGCTCAGTGCGGCATTAAACAACAAACATAACCAACATCCCACGCAGTCACCAAGCCTGAACAACAGATCCATAGAACCGTAACGTTTGTTTGTTGTTAAACTCCACACTCAGCAATATTCCAGAGTAAATAATATTCTCTTGGTCAGACAAACCAGTGATAGATATATTGCCGTTGTGTAGGATGACAACGGTCAACCAGACACCGACGAAGAGCCCCCGATCCTTATAGCATAGCATAGGTTGTTCGGGACCGCTTCTAACCCTGAGTCCCCAAAGGATCTAAACCATAACGGTGACAGTGACGGATTGCTGAGACACACAGCCCCAGTCTGAGATCATACACCCTGACTCCCACTCTTACATCAGTCATCAGCTCCCAGTCTTGGTCCAAAGGCACCATGACACTCACTCCCAGTTTTGGTCCAAAGGCACTATGACACTCACACCCAGTCTTGGTCCAAAGGCACTATGACACTCACACCCAGTCTTGGTCCAAAGGTACCATGACACTCACACTCAGTCTTGGTCCAAAGGTACCATGACACTCATTCCCAGGTTTCGTCCAAAGGTACCATGACACTCACACCCAGTCTTGGTCCAAAGGCACCATGACACTCACTCCCAGTCTTGGTCCAAATGCACTATGACATTCACACCCAGTCTTGGTCCAAAGGCACCATGACACTCACTCCCAGTCTTGGTACAAAGGCACCATGACACTCACTCCCGGTCTTGGTCCAAAGGCACCATAACACACACTCCCAGTCTTGGTCCAAAGGTACCATGACACTCACTCCCAGTCTTGGTCCAAAGGCACTATGCGATCACTTCCAGTCTTGGTCCAAAGGTACCATGACACTCACACCCAGTCTTGGTCCAAAGGCACCATGACACTCACTCCCAGTCTTGGTCCAAAGGCACTATGACACTCACACCCAGTCTTGGTCCAAAGGCACCATGACACTCACTCCCAGTCTTGGTACAAAGGCACCATGACACTCACTCCCGGTCTTGGTCCAAAGGCACCATAACACACACTCCCAGTCTTGGTCCAAAGGTACCATGACACTCACTCCCAGTCTTGGTCCAAAGGTACCATGACACTCACTCCCGGTCTTGGTCCAAAGGCACTATGACACTCACTTCCAGTCTTGGTCCAAAGGTACCATGACACTCACTCCCAGTCTTGGTCCAAAGGTACCATGACACTCACTCCCAGTCTTGGTCCAAAGGTACCATGACACTCACACCCAGTCTTGGTCCAAAGGCACCATGACACTCACTCCCAGTCTTGGTCCAAAGGCACTATGACACTCACACCCAGTCTTGGTCCAAAGGCACCATGACACTCACTCCCAGTCTTGGTACAAAGGCACCATGACACTCACTCCCGGTCTTGGTCCAAAGGCACCATAACACACACTCCCAGTCTTGGTCCAAAGGTACCATGACACTCACTCCCAGTCTTGGTCCAAAGGTACCATGACACTCACTCCCGGTCTTGGTCCAAAGGCACTATGACACTCATTTCCAGTCTTGGTCCAAAGGTACCATGACACTCACTCCCAGTCTTGGTCCAAAGGTACCATGACACTCACTCCCAGTCTTGGTCCAAAGGTACCATGACACTCACTCCCAGTCTTGGTCCAAAGGTACCATGACACTCACTCCTAGTCTTGGTCCAAAGGCACTATGACACTCACTTCCAGTCTTGGTCCAAAGGCACCATAACACACACTCCCAGTCTTGGTCCAAAGGTACCATGACACTCACTCCCAGTCTTGGTCCAAAGGCACTATGGCACTCACTTCCAGTCTTGGTCCAAAGGTACCATGACAATCACTCCCAGTTTTGGACTAAAGACACCATAACACTCACTCCCAGTCTTGGTCCAAAGGTACCATGACACTCATTCCCAGTCTTGGTACAAAGGCACCATGACACTCACTCCCAGTTTTTGTCCAAAGGCACCATAACACTCACTCCCAGTTTTTGTCCAAAGGCACCATAACACTCACTCCCAGTTTCGGACCAAAGGCACCATGACACTCACTCCCAGTCTTGGTACAGAGGCACCATGGCATTCGTTCCCAGTCTTGGTCCAAAGGCACCATGACACTCACTCCCAGTCTTGGTCCAAAGGTACCATGACACTCACTCCCAGTCTTGGTCCAAAGGTACCATGACACTCACTCCCAGTCTTGGTCCAAAGGCACCATGACACTCACTCCCAGTTTTGGTACAAAGGTACCATGACACTCACTCCCAGTCTTGGTCCAAAGGTACCATAACACTCACTCCCAGTCTTGGTCCAAAGGTACCATGACACTCATTCCCAGTCTTGGTACAAAGGCACCATGACACTCACTCCCAGTTTTTGTCCAAAGGCACCATGACACTCACTCCCAGTTTTGGACTAAATGCACTATGACTCCCAGAGCAAGGACTTCCTGGCATCCACTCCCAGTCTTTAACCACAGACATCCAATCCCATCCCAGTCCTACCATTTTCATCGTAGTGAGCGAAGACAAGAGTTAGTTCGAATCTTTCAAAGATGCCATCGCCGTTATCATCCGAGCTCAGCCATACATTTTCGATCACATTAGTATAGATTTCATGGCTGTTGTGATGATTGTGCTCGCTGGAAAATTGGAAAATTACATTTCACATGACAAGCAAACAAATGCAGCAACAACGTCGTCGCTTTTTAGAATGCCCCCCATAATTCAAAGTTATCGCATATCTTGGCTTACAAAGCATTAAGTATGATGTTTTTCCGGTTTTATTTTATCGCCTCAGTTTTAGAAATCCATCTGTCAAAAGGAATACACACAAAATTGTACATGTACCTGCATTTGCCGATATCAACTACTTTATAGCCGACGATTGTATCATGCTTATTGTCGAAACGGCTTTTGAAACGTACACAGCACATACTCAATGGAAAGAATAATACTAATGTGCGCACGTATATTGCGCTTGCCTCCCAACACTCGGCGTGGCTCAAAGCGGTAACATTATTACCCTAGTCAATGGATCAGGATTCATTCGGTTTCCATTCGTTACCCCTTAGAGACTATACAACGTTAACCCGAGCTGCCTTGAAAAGTGCTAGACAGTTAGCAGTCACAATACCATATTCTACCGGGTACCCATTTTTTTCTTGCTTGGTGAACAGACGCATATTTAAAACAAAGTCACTTCCGGTTGAAGGAGACAACATGTGCTACATGTGCTTCAGTGTGGATCGGGACCGAATCCCTAGAAACTCTCAGGGGTCAAACTTTCGAACACTGTCACCCATGCAACAAATCTATGCGACCGACGTTGCTTAACCTCTCCTCATTTGTGATTGTGAACAGGGCCACGTGCAATCACATAAGCGTTTACATTCCTTGTCGTGTAAGGACGAGACTAGCTGGTCCGTAATTAAACTAGCCTGGATCAGTCACGCCAGTGGTTGACATCATGGGAAACGTCCCTTGCCACAGGGTTTCTATGACACAATCAACCGTGCCCAACCACCCTATCTATTACGTCACATCATACGACATTCATAGGTTGCTGGGGAACCGTTCTTTCCCGGAGCCCCCACGTGGTCCATAAATGAGCTGTTGATATCATGAGCAACTTGACATGCCGTAAGGGGTTCCAGAAGAAGTGGATTAGAAATGTCGTAGTCATGACTGCCAAATGCAGACATATTGAAACGGCTACATTAGCCAATTATTTATTAATTTCTTCATGTAACATTGTGAAATTAAATATTAGCAAGGACCAGAATAAGAGCTTCTTTCGCAAATTTTTAGTCCAAGCTCCTTTTTTTAGCTCCGCTTTTCTTTTTTGCGACATCTTCTCTGAAACCTCTTAATGTTATGAAACGGAAAGTTTGTGCATATGACCCAAACAGTTTTGTGTATACATATTCGTTACGTAATTGCGATCAGATCTTAAACATAGTGAGCATTGAAAATGTAAGTTTTGTGCCGATGGCAAGCCAAAACTTAGTCAAATATAATATTACGCAGTGTCACTAGACTGATCAAACTGACATTTCAAAATATTACAACTTACCATGAAACGCCAACGAGAAGAATTGCAACGATGAAAAAGGAAGACATTTTGAATGTCTCTTGTACACAATTATAACTCAAGGAAAGGAGTAGGTCACGCTAATCTTATCTTACCATGTTGATTAACACCTGTCACAGGTTATACTGAACTGTTCCATCAGCGTTTACCTAATACGGTACACGGCCTATTCGAGTATGTAGCATGAGCACATAATTTGACACCCGTGAAGATCCGGGTTAGAATAGGTCTTCAGCAACCCATGCTTGCCGTAACAGGCGACTATGCTTGTTGTAAGAGGCGACTAACGGGATCGGGCTCGCTGACTTGGTTGATGCATGTCGTCGTATCCCAATTGCGTGGATCGATGCTTATGATATTAATCACTGGATTTGCTGGTCTAGACTCGATTATTATACAGACCGCCGTCATATAGCTGGAATATTGCAGAGTGCGACGTTAAACAACAAACAAACAATTTTACCTGGTCTGTTATCTGTTTACCTCTTTAACATTCCACACTTTTCTTTACTTCAGGCATGAAGTATTATTCAGGTGACTCATGTAACATAACAGCACCAGCAAGTCAGTGTCCACTCCAATGGGGATTGTTGTCTGTTCTTTCACAAACGCAACTGCTGTCGGCACAATCATCAAGTCAGCATCTCCACTGTCAGGTTTGAACTCACATCCATTCTTCTGGAGCATCTCACCTAAGAGTGAGTGAGTGAGTATGGTATGGCAAGATCACGGCGGGGAACACCAGAAATGGGCTTCACACAGTGTACCCATGTCGGGAATCGAACCAGTGTTTGCGTGACGAGCGAACACTTTAACCACTAGGCTACCCGACCGCCCCCTCACCAAGGAAGTCTTCCTTCTTTGAACAGAGAAACATATTCCCGCTAAACTTTACCTTCCCACCAACGGTACCTTTCAGTCTCGAATGGGTCATGTCTTCCTTGAGGGACCATTTTCAATTCCATGAAGAACAGTGGCTTTCCCGTACCTCCTTTACACATAATCTGTATACAATAGACTTATACAATCGTACGTCGATCCACGTGGCCATACTACACGCTGCAGTACAGCTCCACCATCAAAGACAAAGTGTTTCAGTGCATCAGCTGCAGGCGGTTTCCAGTTGGGGTTGTGTGTAACTACACAGTTCATGCATGACAAGTTTTCGCCAATGTTATCTGCTGTGGTGATCAGTCGCTGTAGTTGTGGATCTACATGATTTATGTCTCCATCCACTTGTACTGATGACTTGGTTGCAAGGGTTGAAGCTTCATCTTTCTTTTTGAAAGAAAATCCTAGAACTTGTTTTCCTGTCATGGAATCCTCTGTCCAGTTTGCATAGCATCATCTACATTGACGGAAATGTCTACGTTAAACAACAAAGAAAGAAATAAAACAGTTTCCCCATTAGCATGTTACGCAAAGCTCGGTTCTCACTGAATGGGTATCTATCTTCAAGAAACATCAAAACCACCCGAATGACCTTCTGATGTGATTTGGTCATTTTCTTATGTTGATCACTTGTGCTGAAAGACACTAATGTAAGATTCTGCATGGCAGTGTTGACAGGAGGACAAACAGTCATAGAAAGTAGCCATGTGAGACGCTGACAGTAAACACTAACACTACAATACATGACTAAATTATATTCCAATCAGTCAAACACAGCATACAATTGTTGTTTTCAACCCTCTGTATAAAAACCAGCTTCGACGTTTGTCAAACCTGGTTCAACAACTTTAAACAGATTTCAAATAAACATCGCTGCAGCTAGAATCCCAGATAATAGTTCAATCTTTATGGCTAAGGCCAAAGCTATCTTAACAACTGTGACCTATGTTTAACAATAAACCCAACATAAAAGTGTCATCATCCTTTCATATCCATTGTCTTGCCTTCAGGCACTTAAAATTGTCTCCTCAAGTCATCCCATAATCCTTTACATTTTGGAACTTTTCAATGATTTTTTGCTGGTTAACAAGTCATGTAGGCATAGCAGGTAACTCAAAATCCGATGCTGCAGCTAAAGCAGCACTAGAAATCAATAAAATTCATGAATTCAAAACAACAATAGGTCATGATGTCGTATTAGCCACAATCGGTTCACCCTCGAATATCTGCTTAAAACAGATGAGGACGAACCTCCTAAGTGTATCCCTTGTAATGAAAGGTTGACTGTCAAGCATATATTACTTGACTGTGTGGACTTTGCAATTGCAAGGGATTCACATCATCAAAGCGTAAATCTGAAAAATCTCCTCTCCCGTGTAAGCGGGCAACTCATTCTCATCTACTTGAAAGACATTGGTTTGTATATTAAATTTTAAATATGTATGTGAATAATTAGCTGCTTGTTTTTAAATTTGGTGTGATGATTTTACCAACTGATATTATTGGTGGCTCCGTCCGGGAGTTAACTGTAAAATGGTTGCCCGCCTGTGTGACACGTAACTCTTGTCATAATCGATGTAACTGTCATCAACCAGTGCTGAAGCCAACTAATTACTGAGCATTTTAATATAGACTAGTACTGAGCACACCTTATATGTTTGTCTTCCTTAAATTAACCCTCTTGGTGCTACTGGACCATATATGGTCCCTCAATTTCCACACCCTCTGAGAGCCACGGGACCATATATGGTCCCGTGAAAATGTCCCTTTTCAACTGTGAATTAAGATGTCAAACACTGAGTGCGCAAATTTAAAAATTATGACCATCATCACCCTAATCATCTCAGCTTTAAAATCGTGTAAGTCATATTTTATACAGTGCTACGGATTGCGAAATATGATGAGATTAGTAAAGTGGTTACCGCGCTTCTCGACCTTTTTCCATGCGAAATGAATTTTATGCGAATGACGGCGATGTTTTGATTATTCACCCGGGCCACATACACGTAACTATTTTAATATCAGACAGCCAATTTGAAAAAGAAATCAATGAGACTGGTCCGAAATAATTACTTTTCCCCACTTTCCAATTATTGGCTTCAGACTTCTGACGTTTAGTCCGCAATGGAAGTTTTTTTGTTCAAGTATTGCACATTTTTATCGACCGTGTGTCATGGCAATTTAGCACGGCACCAGAGACAGTGCATTGCAGATTGTCTTTATGTTTATGATGCTGATTTACAGAAAATATTCAAATCTAAGATATGGAAAGATAGCTATGATCGTTAATATTGAGATTGATACAGTGTATATTTATGGGAAAGAAGTTCATTATTCAGTTTCATTGAAACTGTGATAATAGCGCTATGATTGGTTTGCTGAAATAGTATTTTCCATGAGACGAACGTACTTGGAACATGCTGTGATTATACAAGATTATTAATATCCATTTATGTATGTGTATATACACTGATGGAATAAAATAAAGGTTCGCATACATGGCGCAGACATAAGATTTTAATACAACACTTGATCAAATGAAAGCTGCATGGTAAATAATGACTTAACCTCAGTTCTTCAGTATGACATGTGTGACCACCACGAGCTCTCACAACAGCCTGACAACGTCTTGGCATACTCCGAATAAATGCCCGGATTGTAGCCCTTGGAACATTATGCAACTCTTGTCTTAAACAGTCAAACATCTCGCCCAGATTACGAGGTTGATTAATGCGATCTCGCACCCGACGACCAAGAACGTCCCATAAATGTTCTATCGGGTTAACGTCTGGACTTTTAGCCGGCCATGGAAGCACAGCGACCTGGTTCTGCCTAAAAAAATCGGCTGAAACACGAGCAGTATGTGGCCTTGCATTGTCCTGCTGAAACTCTAACAACCGCCCAAATCTGTTAGCGAACGGAAGCACCACTGGGCGTAACACTTCGTCACGGTAACGAACACCAGTAAGACGACCATCCACAAGAATCAAATCTGTTCGGTTGTCGTAGGTGATTCCACCCCAGACCATCACTGATCCACCTCCGTATCTGTCATGCTGCTTGACAGTGCATGCTTGGTATCGTTCATTACGTCGTCTCCAAACACGTATCCGACCATCTGCATTGTCAATATTGAAACGAGACTCATCGCTGAACATGGTGTATCGCCAACGACGCATCTGTCTGGCTCCATGCTGCCTTGCCCACTGTAACCTTCGCCGTTTGTGTTCTTGAGTCATCCTGATTCCTACCACGGGACGGCGACTTTGTAGACCCGCTGAACGCAGCCTGTTACGTACTGTGCGATCACTTAACCGTAGATGTGTGACAGCTCTGAACTCGGTATTCACTTTTGGGGCAGGTTTAAAGCGATCCCTCAAACAAATCAGCCGAATCTGAGGATCTTGACGAGCTGTAGTTTTCTTTGGTGGCCCACGCCCACGTCTCATGACAACATTGCCGGTCTGCCTGCAGAGGTTCCACAGTCGTGAGAGGACACTGATGGACTTATGAAAGTGTCTTGCAACTTCTCGCTGTGACTGGCCTGACCTCACCATCCCGATTGCCTGCCATTTCTCCTTCAAACACATGTACTGTCTTGGCATGTTTCACGCAGTTGATGTCAATGAGATCGGTCTTACAGTAGAAGACTTTATACCCCATTGTGCCATGAAAAACTACTGAAACACGTGCACTGCATGTCTTTCTATAGGTGATACCCTGCGTTTTGGAGATGCTGACCATGTACTTCCGAAAAACGGCCACAAAAAAATAACAACATTTGGACTCATTGACCGAACACACTATGCGATCCCTTATTTATTTCCATCAGTATATTTAAATCTCCTAAAAAAATATCATCACAACACGACAGTTCGTATTTCTAACATTTTGCCATCGATATCGATATTAGACGTAATTAATATTAGATTTAGAAATTATTTATGAAGACACTACTCTTGATCAACGTATGATAATCTATTGCAAGCCTTGAACTCTTATTTGATATATTATCTGAAATGTCAGCAATGAGTAAACACTTCTATTTTTCGTTCAATGACGTTACAATCTGCAATTTTATTTGTGTAGGCTAATAGACTGATTTCCCGTTGTGAATTTGTCGTCTGGGCAGGTGCGCGTGATTTGACCTCGCGTGTTGTGACGTGGATGATATCATCCCAAACAGCTGATCTAATGTTTAGGTACTATAAATGTTTCGTTT